TAGTCTAACCTGTTAGTATACTTACAGACACCTAGTCTAACCTGTTAGTATACTTACAGACACCTAGTCTAACCTGTACTTACAGATTTCTATCATAAGGTGTAACAGAATTAGAAAGACAATTTTTATATAAAAATACAAAATACATACTGTTAGGTGGTCAAAGAAAATACGTAGCACTATACCGAGATCAGAAAAGAGTCTAACCAAAATGAATATTGTAAATATAATTATTAGTACATGTATAAAATAGAATACTGGATAGAGACCTACACTTGGCCAGACTATGGGACTCTCAGAATGTACAAAAGATCAGAAATTTGGCTGAGCCATGGCACTTTAAAAATATATAGGCATTGTTACTTCAATAACTTGACAGTGTTGTTTTTTACAAGTTAAGTCACAAACGATACAGATACCCATTCAACATCAATTAAAGGCTCAGATCTCTTTTACATACACTTCATCACAGTTCACATATTTTTAAGAGTAAAAGACTACGGCTAAAACAATGCACACATCATCAAAACAAGCATTCTAACTAATACTAAGTAGTGCTACACTAGATGTGTAAATATGTAGATAATGTGTATATATTGTACTAAACATAAACAACATATAAAAATCTAAACTTGTTACTATGGTAACGATTTCCAACAATAACAGGATGTTAGTATTTATTATGATACAACATTGAATCTTTAACCCTTTCACCCCTTTGTACTGTAGTAGCCTCTACCATGCATTGATCTGGATGAGTCCATTATGGTCTACAGAGGTGAAAGGTATATCAAGCAGAACAGTTTAAGATAAACAAGAGGCCCATGGGCCTTAACGGTCACCTGATATATTTGAACAGAGATTTGATTTTGTTTTTAACATGAACAGAAATATTATTCAAAGTGACAAAAAATAATAAAACCACCTTATTCAATATCTAGCATACAGATGTATGGGGGTCAGTCAGGGCTCATATGTGCATACCATCAAACTGCTACCCAATACTGATAATGCTAACCGAAATTGAATTACTTTCAATGGCAATTAAACAAATGTTAGTCCAAAATGAGATATCCTTATTTAAACTATAGTAAAGTTAACCCCCTCCCCAGGGGGAAACGTGAGACCCAAGGGTCATGAAATTCACAATTTTGGTAAACCACCTAAGCTTAAGACCCTTCCATCTATGAAGAGTATTTGATTCTACCATATCTGGGTCTTGAGAAGAAGATTTTTGAAATTTTAGTCAATTTGACCCTTCTTGGCCCCACCCCTCAGGCCCCTGGGGGCTGGGGACCAAATCAGCCACTATTTTTGTTGACCTTTGGCAATGGAAGGTTTCTGCAAAATTTCATTGAAATTGGTTCAGGGGTTATGGAGAAGAAGTTGAAAATGTAAATTAATTACGGACACACGATGGACGACGTCGGACAAAAGGCGATTGCAATAGATCACTTGAGACTTTGTCTCAGGTGACCTAAAAATGGAGGTATCTTTCTGGAATGTTTGCAATCAAATCATTTAGCACAATACAGGATGGATATATTTAGATATATTTTAGACACATGTAAAATATATAGGAAACAGCAATTCTATGGCAAAGAAAAAAATAGTTCTCAGTAGCATTTCTACATGGTTAGGAAATCATGTAGTTCAAATAAAACATAAATTTCAAGAGGGGTGTAAGATAGGGAAATTCCATCATTGGGAATTTCAAATTGGTACAAAACCCTTGGCTAAAGGAGTTTTTAAATTGGGTAAAACCTGAGGCTTGCAAAGGGAATTGCATCAATTCGAAAACCCATGAAGTGGCGTTTCCCTATTTTACACTCCTGGGCATGAAAGAGTATTTTTCTCTCATTCCTATCACCAGAATCAGCTCAGAACCCACAAAAAGATGTCACAATTTACACATTGTGGCCAATGTTCCCAATTTCATGATGCCTATTTGTGAGCTCACACACGTGCGATTGGGTGTAAAATAGAAATTTCTTACATCCCTTTCTTACCCTTTACAGTTTGTAATAAATGCACAGGAATGAGAGAAAGTTGCTCACTGATATGAGTCTGAATCATATTGAATAAAGATTTTGTTTTTTTAATATGATTTTCAGTTCACAAATCTAAGTATTGTTGGAATTTCCTTGAAAGAATAAACTCAGACCTCTTTTTGTTTAGTCTAAAGAGTGGTGTCGCTTGAGTTCACCTACAGGTTGTAGAGGAATGTCTTCTGTAGCCTTAGGCTGTATGGGAGCGTCTTCTGTAGCCTCAGGCTGTAGAGAAATGTCTTCTACAGCAACAGCGCCCTGTCTTGTGAGATGTCCATGGTGATCCATCGACCTGTTTTTTGACCCACTATCCGAGTTGTCTGAATTAGCTTCGTTCTTCGGTGTAGTCTCACTATCGTCATCCATTAGTGGTTCGTCTTCCGTTCCCTCAAACACCGTACTTTCATCTATCTCTATCACAGTGTTGTTAGGATGCTGGTACATGTGATTTGTCACTTGACCAACAGAGGACCCATCAATATTCATCGTCATAGCACGTTGTCGAGGGGCAAGCATGTGGTGATCCCTGATGTGTGCCTCTGCTGTATCCTCCTCGGACCAAGATAAAGCTCGCTCCGGCATTTTCCTGATGGTCCTCATGCGCTGGAGCTCGTTGTTGTTGTTGCGTTTGTTGGTCCATCGCTCTCGAAGTGAATTCATCTTGGTGAATTGAAGTTTTTTCAAATGGTCGTTGTCATGCAAGCCACCAGAGAATCTGAACACGTTCTGTAAAACACAATCAGTGTGGTTATAACATATTGTCTCCACTGATCATAACTTCTATCACCCTCCCAAATGACTGTAGCCATTGATATACTAATACGTTGATTAGAAAGCTATCCCGATCTGTATTACATTACAAGTGTTTCAGTGATACATTAGCGTATTATATGTATTACACATTATTTCTACAATATTACAAGTGAAGACAAATTAGCAAAAGAATGTTCACTTACAAATTAATATTTTTCTAATATCTTGGATGTTGACAAATGACCTTCAAATCTCTCTGTCATGATCAACTACACAATGTGTGAATATGTTCAACTCCTGTTATTTAGGCTTGAAATATATTATAACACTTATTTATAAAACACTATAAGCTCCATCTGTTTCTAAACATTTTCTTCAAGATGGTGAGTAAGGATTGTAGAAAGGTTCCTGCAGCATTGCAATCAGTGTAATGTTAATGTGTGATGGTTCAACGATTCGTACGGTATAAACTCTTAATGTGTGATGGTTCAATGACTCATACGGTATAAACTCTTAATGTGTGATGGTTCAATGACTCGTACGGTATAAATAACTCTTAATGTGTGATGGTTCAATGACTTGTATGGTATAAACTCTTAATGTGTGATGGTTCAATGACTCGTACGGTATAAACTCTTAATGTGTGATGGTTCAATGACTCGTACGGTATAAACTCTTTATGTGTGATGGTTCAATGACTCGTACGGTATAAACTCTTAATGTGTGATGGTTCAATGACTCGTACGGTATAAACTCTTTATGTGTGATGGTTCAATGACTCGTACGGTATAAACTCTTAATGTGTGATGGTTCAATGACTCGTACGGTATAAACTCTTTATGTGTGATGGTTCAATGACTCGTACGGTATAAACTCTTAATGTGTGATGGTTCAATGACTCGTACGGTATAAACTCTTTATGTGTGATGGTTCAATGACTCGTACGGTATAAACTCTTAATGTGTGATGGTTCAATGACTCGTACGGTATAAACTCTTTATGTGTGATGGTTCAATGACTCATACGGTATAAACTCTTAATGTGTGATGGTTCAATGACTCGTACGGTAGTCACAGAGAAGTCACACATAAACACTGTAATGGTTGTGCTACGAGGACCCGTCACACATTAACACTGTAATGGTTGTGCTACGAGGACCTGTCACACATAAACACTGTAATGGTTGTGCTACGAGGACCCGTCACACATTGACACTGTAATGGTTGTGCTACGAGGACCCGGCACACATTAACACTGTAATGGTTGGGCTACGAGGACCCGTCACACATTGACACTGTAATGGTTGTGCTACGAGGACCTGTCACACATAAACACTGTAATGGTTGGGCTACGAGGACCCGTCACACATTAACACTGTAATGGTTGTGCTACGAGGACCCGTCACACATTAACACTGTAATGGTTGTGCTACGAGGACCCGTCACACATTAACACTGTAATGGTTGTGCTACGAGGACCCGTCACACATTAACACTGTAATGGTTGTGCTACGAGGACCCGTCACACATTAACACTGTAATGGTTGTGCTACGAGGACCCGTCACACATTAACACTGTAATGGTTGTGCTACGAGGACCCGTCACACATTAACACTGTAATGGTTGTGCTACGAGGACCCGTCACACATTAACACTGTAATGGTTGGGCTACGAGGACCCGTCACACATTAACACTGTAATGGTTGTGCTACGAGGACCCGTCACACATTAACACTGTAATGGTTGGGCTACGAGGACCCGTCACACATTAACACTGTAATGGTTGTGCTACGAGGACCCGTCACACATTAACACTGTAATGGTTGTGCTACGAGGACCCGTCACACATTAACACTGTAATGGTTGTGCTACGAGGACCCGTCACACATTAACACTGTAATGGTTGTGCTACGAGGACCCGTCACACATTAACACTGTAATGGTTGTGCTACGAGGACCCGTCACACATTAACACTGTAATGGTTGTGCTACGAGGACCCGTCACACATTAACACTGTAATGGTTGTGCTACGAGGACCCGTCACACATTAACACTGTAATGGTTGTGCTACGAGGACCCGTCACACATTAACACTGTAATGGTTGTGCTACGAGGACCCGTCACACATTAACACTGTAATGGTTGTGCTACGAGGACCCGTCACACATTAACACTGTAATGGTTGTGCTACGAGGACCCGTCACACATTAACACTGTAATGGTTGTGCTACGAGGACCCGTCACACATTAACACTGTAATGGTTGTGCTACGAGGACCCGTCACACATTAACACTGTAATGGTTGTGCTACGAGGACCCGCCACACATTAACACTGTAATGGTTGGGCTACGAGGACCCGTCACACATTAACACTGTAATGGTTGGGCTACGAGGACCCGTCACACATTAACACTGTAATGGTTGTGCTAAGAGGACCCGTCACACATTAACACTGTAATGGTTGGGCTACGAGGACCTGTCACACATTAACACTGTAATGGTTGTGCTACGAGGACCCGTCACACATTAACACTGTAATGGTTGGGCTACAAGGACCTTTCTACAATGCTCCAACTAATCATTATAAAAGAAACTGCCTCTTTATGATCATGGGATGGTAACCTGATAACCTTTGACCTTTAATCCAAGCAGTCAAGAAGATGTATCATAACTTCTACACAGCATTGTTCATTCCTTGCTTAACAAGTTATTAATATTTCAGAAGCATTTGCTTTTTTCTTTGGTTTTAATTTTGTACACTCATGAATGCATGAAATGCCAAAATTGGGAAAAAAACATATAATATAAGCTCAGTTCCTAGACTTTCATAAATTCTTTATATTTATTTGCATACTGACCGTATGGTGAGCTGGCCTCTGGATATGTTTTTCAAAGAAGGTCTTTGCTTCAGAGGGTGTACTTGGTGTATCCTCCAAGGAGAACACTACTTTAAATGTTCCTGAAATGAAAGAGCAAAACCTTTAAAACTCACACAATTATTGTTTCAACCTTATATTATGTAGCTCTGATATATGGTATCAATCATAATGTCTTGGGATCAGTGTTGCACTGTGAAAACTCACCAACAGAAAGAGGCACCAACATCTGTTGTAGATAAATGTATGATGTATGTTGTGTCTGTGACTCGGACACCTGACTTTGGATATTCCAGGTGTACAATCTTCCTAGCAACAGCCACTAGATTGTTAAACAAACAAACTAGCGACACATTCTTAAAGGCAATCTGTTCCTGAACGGTGTGGCTAGACATCTGGACACCCCATTACAGGTGACTGAATCAGCAGAGCAATGTCACAAAACATCGGTGTCCATCCATGGGAAACCATTTATACATGTACTTTTGGTAGCTTTAAACAACTAAGACTGCTATAACCCATGACGGACTACTTTATTATCTAAAATGTAACTCAATATGCACGACTCCTCATTTTAGTTGGCTCCACTCCCTCCTAGCCCCAACCCCTCTAGTTTATAGTGTAAATATGTAGAAAGTTTGGGTAGAAGTGCAAAAGATCAGGCAGGGTGAAGTCAGCATTAGTTTGATCATGAATTGACATTAATTAAAATGCAAGAGTTTATTTTATGGCAAATGAAAAGTTTTCATTGTAAGTGAAAGTATGTTTACCTGTTGTTGGAGTTTCGTCGTCCACGTCGTGGTCGGGTGTACCCAAGTCCTTATCTTTATCTGAGGTGCTGCTTTTTATCTGCTGTATCAGGGCGGCGCTGTCAATGTTTCTCCTGTACCAAACAATTCACACATTGGATGTATTCTGTTGTGAATGTCTATTTGTACAGTGTTAATTGGTCTAAAATGTCTCATTTCTATGATGGGCAATTTACATACATGAGTTTGTGATGTCATTAGTTGTTTCTTGTGACCACAGAATAATATCAATGTCTGTGAGAGTGTGATAACACTTAAGAACAGTCAGAGTATTTGATAAGAGGGGAGGGGGTGTCATACAGTATAACTGTACCCAGGCAACATTGATCATTTTACGTAACTCACTCCTGCTACAATATCAAGTCATCCAGACGTTTCAAGTTATAGGAAATGGATGTGTTACAGGAACAGTTAACCCTTTCACCCTTATATGTAACTGTAGTAGACTCTACCATGCATTGATCTGGATGAGTCCATTTTGGTCTACAGTGGTGAAAGGGTTAACCAAGTTGACAGCTTTACCAAAAATAAAGGGCCTCTGAACATATTCATGTTTTACACACACACAATACAGTCTACTGGCGTCGGCCGAGGATCCTGTGCACTTACACTCTACTGACGTCGGCCGAGGATCCTGTGTACTTACAGTCTACTGGCGTCGGCCGAGGATCCTGTGTACTTACAGTCTACTGGCGTCGGCCGAGGATCCTGTGTACTTACAGTCTACTGGCGTCGGCCGAGGATCCTGTGTACTTACAGTCTACTGGCGTCGGCCGAGGATCCTGTGTACTTACAGTCTACTGGCGTCGGCCGAGGATCCTGTGTACTAACAGTCTACTGGCGTAGAATCCGGTGTAATTACAGTCTACTGGCGTAGGATCCTGTGTAATTACAGTCTACTGGCGTAGGATCCTGTGTACTTACAGTCTACTGGCATAGGATCCTGTGTACTTACAGTCTACTTGCGTAGGATTCTGTGTACTTACAGTCTACTGGCGTCGGCCGGGAGTTTACTTGCTCCACACAGATGAAGGTTCTTGTAATGTTCCCTAAAAGGCACAAACCAAGCAGAATTAGTATGAATGAGAAAAGAGAGAGAGAAAGAGACAGAGATACAGGTATAGAGAGACAGAGAAGCAGATATAGAGAGACAGAGAAAGAGATAAAGATACAGATATAGAGAGACAGAGAAAGAGAGACAGAGAAACAGATATAGACAGACAGAAAAAGAGACAGAGATACAGAGTTAGAGATACAGAGAAAGAGACAGAGATACAGAGTTAGAAAGACAGAAAAACAGATATAGAGACAGAGAAAGGTACAGAGATACAGATATAGAGAGATAGAGAAAGATATAAAGATACAGATATAGAGAGACAGAGATACAGATATAGAGAGACAGAGAAAGAGATATAGAGAGACAGAGAAACAGAGAAAGAGACAGTGAGACAGAGAATGAGACAGAGATACAGATTTAGAGAGACAGAGAAACAGATAGAGAGACAGAGAAAGAGATACAGGTATAGAGAGACAGAGAAAGAGATACAGATATAGAGAGACAGAGAAACAGAGAAAGAGACAGAGATACAGATATAGAGAGACAGAGAAAGAGACAGAGATACAGATATAGAGAGACAGAGAAAGAGAGAAAGAGACAGAGATACAGATATAGAGAGACAGAGAAAGAGACAGATACAGATATAGAGAGACAGAGAAACAGATAGAGAGACAGAGATACAGATATAGAGAGACAGAGTAACAGAGATAGAGAGACAGAGATACAGGTATAGAGAGACAGAGAAAGAGAGAAAGAGATACAGATATAGAGAGACAGAGAAAGAGACAGATACAGATATAGAGAGACAGAGAAACAGATATAGAGACACAGAGAAACAGATATAGAGACATAGATACAGATATAGAGAGACAGAGAAAGAGACAGAGATACAGATATAGAGAGACAGAGAAACAGATATAGAGACAGAGAAACAGATATAGAGAGACAGAGAAAGAGACAGAGATACAGATATAGAGAGACAGAGAAAGAGACAGATACAGATATAGAGAGACAGAGATACAGATATAGAGAGACAGAGAAACAGATATAGAGACAGAGATACAGATATAGAGAGACAGAGAAAGAGACAGAGATACAGATATAGAGAGACAGAGAAAGAGACAGATACAGATATAGAGAGACAGAGAAACAGATATAGAGAGACAGAGAAACAGATATAGAGACATAGATACAGATATAGAGAGACAGAGAAAGAGACAGAGATACAGATATAGAGAGACAGAGAAAGAGACAGATACAGATATAGAGAGACAGAGAAACAGATATAGAGAGACAGAGAAACAGATATAGAGACAGAGATACAGATATAGAGAGACAGAGAAAGAGACAGAGATACAGATATAGAGAGACAGAGAAAGAGACAGATACAGATATAGAGAGACAGAGAAACAGATATAGAGAGACAGAGTTACAGAGACAGAGTTACAGAGACAGAGATACAGATATAGAGAGACAGAAAAAGAGAGAAAGAGACAGAGAAACAGATATAGATAGACAGACCTACAGAGACAGAGTAACAGAGACAGAGTTACAGATATAGAGAGACAGAGATAGAGAGACAGAGATAGAGACAGATACAGATATAGAGAGACAGAGAAACAGATATAGAGAGACAGAGTTACAGAGATAGAGAAACAGATTTACAAAGACAAAGAGCCAGATATACAGATATAGAGAGACAGAGATACAGATATAGAGAGACAGAGATACAGAGATACAGATATAGAGAGACAGAGAAAGAGACAAAGATACAGAGTTAAGAGAGACAGAGAAACAGATATAGATAGACAGATTACAGATATAGAGAGACAGAGAGACAGAGATACAGATATAGAGAGACAGAGAGACAGAGATACAGATATAGAGAGACAGAGAGACAGAGATACAGATATAGAGAGACAGAGATACAGAGATACAGATATAGAGAGACAGAGATACAGATATAGAGAGACAGAGATACAGAGATAAAGATATAGAGAGACAGAGAGACAGAGATACAGATATAGAGAGACAGAGAGACAGATATAGAGAGAAAGAGAAAGAGATAAAGATACAGATATAGAGAGACAGAGATACAGAGATAAAGATATAGAGAGACAGAGAGACAGAGATACAGATATAGAGAGACAGAGAGACAGATATAGAGAGAAAGAGAAAGAGATAAAGATACAGATATAGAGAGACAGAGATACAGAGATAAAGATATAGAGAGACAGAGAGACAGAGATACAGATATAGAGAGACAGAGAAAGAGACAGATACAGATATAGAGAGACAGAGATACAGATATAGAGACACAGAGAAACAGATATAGAGACATAGATAGATATAGAGAGACAGAGAAAGAGACAGAGATACAGATATAGAGAGACAGAGATACAGATATAGAGAGACAGAGATACAGATATAGAGACACAGAGAAACAGATATAGAGACATAGATACAGATATAGAGAGACAGAGAAAGAGACAGATACAGATATAGAGAGACAGAGAAACAGATATAGAGACAGAGAAACATATATAGAGAGACAGAGAAAGAGACAGAGATACATATATAGAGAGACAGAGAAAGAGACAGATACAGATATAGAGAGACAGAGAAACAGATATAGATAGACAGAGCTACAGAGACAGAGTAACAGAGACAGAGTTACAGATATAGAGAGACAGATAGAGAGACAGAGATAGAGACAGATACAGATATAGAGAGACAGAGAAACAGATATAGATAGACAGAGCTACAGAGACAGAGTAACAGAGACAGAGTTACAGATATAGAGAGACAGATAGAGAGACAGAGATAGAGACAGATACAGATATAGAGAGACAGAGAAACAGAGAAAGAGAAACAGAGAAACAAATATAGAGAGACAGAGAGACAGAGATACAGATATAGGGAGACAGAGAGACAGAGATACAGATATAGAGAGACAGAGAAACAGATATAGAGACACAGAGAAACAGATATAGAGACATAGATAGATATAGAGAGACAGAGAAAGACACAGAGATACAGATATAGAGAGACAGAGAAACAGATATAGAGACAGAGAAACATATATAGAGAGACAGAGAAAGAGACAGATACAGATATAGAGAGACAGAGAAACAGATATAGAGACACAGAGAAACAGATATAGAGACATAGATACAGATATAGAGAGACAGAGATACAGATATAGAGAGATAGAGAGCCAGAGATACAGATATAGAGAGAAAGAGATACAGATATAGAGAGACAGAGATAAAGATATAGAGAGACAGAGATACAGATATAGAGAGATAGAGAGCCAGAGATACAGATATAGAGAGAAAGAGATACAGATATAGAGAGACAGAGACAAAGATATAAAGAGACAGAGAGCCAGAGATACAGATATAGAGAGACAGAGATACAGAGATAAAGATATAGTGAGACAGAGATACAGATATAGAGAGACAGAGAAACAGATATAGAGACAGAGAAACATATATAGAGAGACAGAGAAAGAGACAGATACAGATATAGAGAGACATAGATACAGATATAGAGACACAGAGAAACAGATATAGAGACATAGATAGATATAGAGAGACAGAGAAAGACACAGAGATACAGATATAGAGAGACAGAGAAACAGAGAAAGAGAAACAGAGAAACAAATATAGAGAGACAGAGAGACAGAGATACAGATATAGAGAGACAGAAAAAGAGACAGAGAAGGAGGGTTCAAAAATCATCCAGATTCCAAAATTTAATTAAATACACTAGTAGAATTCACATAAAATACTCTCGCTTAAAGTATATCAGAGTGCAGACCTTTTACAAATTTGATTTGTATGTCTTATACTAAAATTTGCTGTCATGACAAATTCAGAAAAAGGTGAAAATTACAACATAGCAAAAATGTCTAGGTTTACAGTAGTTATTTCAGTTTTTTAATCATTTTTCTATAAATGAACAAACTTAATATCATTTACTTCATGACAAGTTTTTTTGGTAAACAAAAAATTATTTTATTATTTTATATACTAAATAATTCATCATGAGTGAACGAGGTATATATTTCACATTTAACTGTTGATATTTCATTTACACTCAATTCTTTTGTTATGACCAATGGCAATATAATTTCCCGCGAATAAGCAAAGTTGACTTTACTTACTTCATCATTAGTTTTTCATAACATTGAAGGATTTCATATTGCTCCTCGTTTAACTTGTGGTCACGTAACAGGATCCTGCGGATGTACTTCTCGTCCATGTGGTAGAACCACTCCTGACACAGAGGTAGATATTATACATTCTTATGACACAGAAGTAGATATTATACATTCTTATGTCACAGAAGTAGATATTATACATTCTTATGAAGTTATGTCACCTGTGATTCTTCTCACAAAACTCCTCTCCATAAATTTCGGATTTAGATAATCCATACCAATTACTTTGAAGTTCCGATAGATTTTAGTCAACTCAGTGAAGAATTGTACATGTACTGTTCATATTTGCCAACTCTTCCTATTTTGGAGGAAGATTCCAGACTTTGCGCATTTTCAACCTGTAAATTTGCTAAATTATCTCTATTTTTTAATCAACTTCTGACGACATTTGATTCATGATTGTTTTGAGCACATGTAATCTCCCCAAAGGAAATTTTAAAAAGTTAACAAGTGCAACCGTTCTATCTATATTTATAATAACTTACTTAATTGTGACTATATATATTTTTCTTTAGGGACATCGCTATATAGTATACCGGTCACCAGTAATAGAATCCTAAAATGTTTATAATATATGAAGTTGATAATCTGATCACCTAGCTCACAGACATAATGTTTCTTGAGAAATTATATCAGTTATACATGATCTTCCTTGTCTGAATTATACTTGGTTTAGAATTAATTATTTTTTTATAGTGCATGAAACCATCCTTAATCTCTGACACAAAATAAAGATTCATAAAAAGTCTTTCTGGACTTACCCTCATAGAATTTTTTCCCTCTTTGCCGATGAGATCTTCCATCCCTGCCATCAAGTGGTCTGTTACCTTGACAACACAATTTCTTAATGTAAATCATGAGCTTTTTGAATAAAGGAAGATCTGAATGCAAAATGTTTGTACTTCATGTGCCAATTAAAAGAACTATAAAAAGAGATTTTCAGTATTATTTTCCAGTTATTCCACCATCTATATCAGGAATTGAATTCTTTCCTAGTGAAATAAATAGTTTCATTTTATATTTTTACCTTCAAAGATAACATTATCATTTTTCAAATTTTCAAAGTAAAACGACCAATCAAAGAGCTACAATTAATTGTAATTTTCCAATAATCCTTGTGATTTGATGGTTAAACTCCCTACATTATAAAGGCAGAAATAACCTAAACAATAAATAGTCGTGAACAATATTTATGGTAATTACGGCTATTTATTGTTTAAAGATCCAGATTAACTTACATGTTCTGTGAGTTCCACGTACATAGACGTCTCCTGTGTCTTAGAGGCCAGCTTGACCTGTAGTAACTTAACAAGGGGTTTGATGGTCGCACCCTATAGGTAAGGCAAGAAATGTACACATTATCACAAAGTATGTGAAGATATCTTTTGGTTAAATATAGTATTTGCAAAATTTTCCATGGATTAAAAGGCACACTTAAAGATAATAGTGATTCATTTTACGGAGATTCTAGACCAGTTCAGACCAGTTTTGTTGATTAGTGCACAAAAATCAGAAACCAATTTCAAAAACGTCACCGTCCTGGAAATTCCAGGGGTTACATGTACATTGTCTTACAATCTCTGTACTCCTGGTCATGACAAAATAGAGACTTTGTAACTGATACCTTGTAGATGATACAAATAGACAAGTTTGATCTTTCCATGTACATCACCAGTATTGAGTGACACCTGTCCCATTACAGTAAAACTGACTGGCCTTGGAGTTAGGTGTTGCTCCTGTGTAATCTTAAAAGGCTAAGGTTTAATCAGCCTACGATTGGTCAGGTTTTTTCACCTGAAACCAATCAAATAGCTAACTGTTTGCCTTCCATTTTGTCATGACCTATTCCAGGGGAACTGAGATTGCAAGTGAGCATGAACCCTGAAATTTGGATGATGCAACTTCAAGAAAATTATGTTAAAAATTTAACTGAAATAAACGTAAAGAAGTAGAATGTTTTTTAAATTCTGGATTGTCACAGACAGAAAACGAATTGTGATAAAGATGTTAGGCATGAAGTATGACAACATGACATAACATTGTAGCCATAATATTGAACACAAATATTCGGAGCTCATTTCCATTTTAATTCATCAATGTAATCTATCAATAACCAACTAACACTTACCTGGATGAAGACGGTAAAGAAGATGACAAAGAGGGTTGATGTGACGAAAACGTCCTTCATAGGGAAGGCTTTAATGTCCAGTAGGGCAACGAGAGAGAAACACACCGCTCCTCTGATTCCACCGTAACTCTGAGTAAAAGAGAACAATGTATTTTATATCCAGCACACCGACGAGAGAAACACACTGCTCCTCGGATTCCACCATAACTCTGAGTAAAAGAGAACAATGTATTTTATATCCAGCAGAGCAATGAGAGAAACACACCGCTCCTCTGATACCGCCGTAACTCTGAGTAAAATAGAACAATGGATTTTATATCCAGCAGAGCAACGAGAGAAACATCGCTTCTCGGATTCCACCGTAACTCTGAGTATAATAGAAAAAGAGGCCCAATGGGCCTGCATCGCTCACCTGTTATTAATCTAACACTTGTAATCTTAAGATTTCATAAGAACCTATTAAAAGATTTAAACAAATGACGCCTCTGACCTTGATTGTTGAACAAGGACATTAGGTTGAAAGTGGATCAAGGTCAATCATTTGAACTAAAATGGTAGTCCTTCATCCCAGCATGCTACAGGCCCAATTTCAGTACCCTGGCCCTTTTGCTTATTGAAAAGAAGTCGCTTGAAGATTTTACGACATTTGACCCTGTGACCTTGAAAGTTGGTCAAGGTCATTCATTTGAACAAACTTGGTAGTCCTTCATCCCAGCATGCTACAGGCCTAATTTCAGTACCCTGGCCTTTTTGGTTATTGAGAAGAAGTGGTTTGAAGATTTTACGACATTTGACCCCTGTGACCTTGAAAGTGGGTCAAGGACATTCATTTGAACAAACTTGGTAGCCCTTCATCCCAGCATGCTGCAGACCCAATATCAGTACCCTGGGCATTTTGGTTATTGAGAAGAAGTTGTTTGAAGATTTTAAGACATCTGACCCCAGTGACCTTGAAAGTGGGTCAAGGTCATTCATTTGAACAAACTTGGTAGCCCTTCATCCCAGCATGCTACAGGCCCAATATCAGTACCCTGGGCCTTTTGGTTATTGAGAAGAAGTTGTTTGAAGATTTTAAAAAATTTGACCCCTGTGACCTTGAAAGTGGGTCAAGGTCATTTATTTGAACAAACTTGGTAGCCCTTCATCCCAGCATGCTACAGGCCCAATATCAGTACCCTGGGCCTTTTGGTTATTGAGAAGAAGTTGTTTGAAGATTTTAAAATATTTGACCCCTGTGACCTTGAAAGTGGGTCAAGGTCATTTATTTGAACAAACTTGGTAGCCCTTCATCCCAGCATGCTACAGGCCCAATATCAGTACCCTGGGCCTTTTGGTTATTGAGAAGAAGTTGTTTGAAGATTTTAAAATATTTGACCCCTGTGACCTTGAAAGTGGGTCAAGGTCATTTATTTGAACAAACTTGGTAGCCCTTCATCCCAGCATGCTACAGGCCCAATATCAGTACCCTGGGCCTTTTGGTTATTGAGAAGAAGTTGTTTGAAGATTTTAAAACATTTGACCCCTGTGACCTTGAAAGTGGGTCAAGGTCATTTATTTGAACAAACTTGGTAGCCCTTCATCCCAGCATGCTACAGGCCCAATATCAGTACCCTGGGCCTTTTGGTTATTGAGAAGAAGTTGTTTGAAGATTTTAAGACATTTGACCCCTGTGACCTTGAAAGTGGGTCAAGGTCATTCATTTGAACAAACTTGGTAGCCCTTCATCCCAGCATGCTACAGGCCCAATATCAGTACCCTGGGCCTTTTGGTTATTGAGAAGAAGTTGTTTGAAGATTTTAAGACATCTGACCCCAGTAACCTTGAAAGTGGGTCAAGGCCATTCAGTTGAACAAACTTGGTAGCCCTTCATCCCAGGATGCAACAGGCCCAATTTCAGTACCCTGGCCTTTTTGGTTATTGAGAAGAAGTTGTTTGAAGATTTTAAGACATCTGACCCCAGTAACCTTGAAAGTGGGTCAAGGCCATTCAGTTGAACAAACTTGGTAGCCCTTCATCCCAGGATGCAACAGGACCAATTTCAGTACCCTGGCCTTTTTGGTTATTGCGAAGAAGTTGTTTGAAGATTTTAAAGACATCTGACACCAGTGACCTTGAAAGTGGGTCAAGGTCATTCATTTGAACAAACTTGGTAGCCCTTCATCCCAGCATGCTACAGGCCCACTATCAGTACCCTGGGCCTTTTGGTTATTGAGAAGAAGTTGTTTAAAGCAAAAGGTTGACACCGGACAGACGGACGACGGACGGACGGATGGACGGACGACGGATGCCGCACCATAACATAAGCTCACTTGCCCTTCGGGCAGGTGAGCTAACAATGTATTTTATATCCAGCAGAGCAACGAGAGAAATACACAGCTTCTCTCATTCCACCATAACTCTGAGTAAAATAGAACAGTGTATTTTATATCCAGCAGACCAACGAGAGAAACACACAGCTTCTCTGATTCCACCATAACTCTGAGTAAAATAGAACAATGTATTTTATATCCAGCAGAGCAACGAGAGAAATACACAGCTTCTCTGATTCCACCATAACTCTGAGTAAAATAGAACAGTGTATTTTATATCCAGCAGACCAACGAGAGAAACACACAGCTTCTCTGATTCCACCGTAACTCTGAGTAAAAGAGAACAATGTATTTTATATCCAGCAGAGCAACGAGAGAGAAACACACCGCTCCTCGGATTCCACCGTAACTCTGAGTAAAGTAGAACAATGTATTTTATATCCAGCAGACCAACTAGAGAAACACACCGCTCCTCGGATTCCACTGTAACTCTGAGAAAAATAGAACATTGTATTTTATATCCAGCAGACCAACGAGAGAAACACACCGCTCCTCGGATTCACTGTAACTCTGGGTAAAATAGAACAATGGATTTTTTTATCCAGCAGAGCAACGAGACAAACACACTGCTCCTCTGATTCCACCGTAACTCTGAGAAAAATAGAACAATGTATTTTATATCCAGCAGACCAACGAGACAAACACACTGCTCCTCTGATTCCACTGTAACTCTGAGTAAAAGAGAACAATGTATTTTATATCCAGCAGAGCAACGAGACAAACACACTGCTCCTCTGATTCCACCGTAACTCTGAGTAAAAGAGAACAATGTATTTTATATCCAGCAGACCAACGAGAGAAACACACTGCTCCTCGGATTCCACCGTAACTCTGAGTAAAGTAGAACAATGTATTTTATATCCAGCAGAGCAACGAGACAAACACACAGCTCCTCTGATTCCACCGTAACTCTGAGTAAAATAGAACAATGTATTTTATATCCAGCAGAGCAACGAGAGAAACACACCGCTCCTCAGATTCCACCGTAACTCTGAGTAAAGTAGAACAATGTATTTTATATCCAGCAGACCAACGAGACAAACACACTGCTCCTCAGATTCCACCGTAACTCTGAGTAAAATAGAACAATGTATTTTATATCCAGCAGACCAACGAGACAAACACACCGCTCCTCAGATTCCACCGTAACTCTGAGTAAAGTAGAACAATGTATTTTATATCCAGCAGACCAACGAGACAAACACACTGCTCCTCAGATTCCACCGTAACTCTGAGTAAAATAGAACAATGTATTTTATATCCAGCAGACCAACGAGACAAACACACCGCTCCTCAGATTCCACCGTAACTCTGAGTAAAGTAGAACAATGTATTTTATATCCAGCAGACCAACGAGACAAACACACCACTCCTCTGATTCCACCGTAACTCTGAGTAAAATAGAACAATGTATTTTATATCCAGCAGACCAACGAGACAAACACACTGCTCCTCTGATTCCGCCGTAACTCTGAGTAAAATAGATTATTGTATTTTATATCTAGCAAAGCACCAACATGAAAAGAGAAACACACATTCCTTATAATATGTCTGTGACTATGAATAAATTAAACAAAGTGAGCGGAGACTCACACAGATATCCCCCCCCCCCTATACCTTCCAAGCTTTGCCTTAGACTTTTGACTGATGACCACCAAAATCTAATCAGGTGTAGTGCTCAGTATTACTATAATATTTGGTACATATGAACTAAATGTGTTCAGAGGTACAATGAATTAGCCAGCCAGATTTAGCATTAGTATCCAACATTTGCAAACAATGTTTGCGCAGAAAAATTGATCACATCTTTCTTACGTGAACGGTAAATATATCCTAAAAGGTTTTAATTTCATCATGTCACCTTTTCCGTAAAACGGCATCGGAGAGTTCCAAATTCGTGACGTCACGTTACGTCATTGTTGAGCCATTGCGACGTTACATCACGTGAAACAGGGCATAAGATAGAAAATTCCTACACCCCTTTTACCCTGGACAGCTCTATCTTACACACAGGGAAATGAGAGAAAACATTACATCAAACATCTAGCTGAGCAACTAGATATATAATACACAGCCTCTATGTCACTACAAATGACAATAACATCCTTGTATTAGAAGTGTGGATATACAGACAAAACTAAATATGATATATTAACCTACCATATTTGAAGGAAATTGCATAGAAATTGAAAAAGGATTTCTGTGAACAATGCTGTGTTTGTGTCTAGGACAGACAACAGACAGATGGGCTGATCACCCCCCTCCACCCCCTTTTTTTCTTTTGTGAGGTTCTATTTAAACATTATTGAGATGTCGCCAGACTTACCACAATGAACATCTCATCATAGCGGATCTTTCTAACTCGGTACTTGTCATATCTGTTTATTAGCGAGGAAGCTAAAAATGTCACTGGAACAAATAAAAGAAATTATTTTCAAATGATAATATCGTTTGATACACAATCACTTATGACAAACATATCCTAGTTACATTTATTGAATCTATTTTTCTAAAGCAGGTCCGTAACTGATTAGTATGTAACAAGTTCATTGCTTTAAGGACTCTTTTATCCTGGAAAGGAAAACAGTTTCGAGCTGTCCCTTGGTTACACTCATAGAACCTACCCGTCCCATAAAATCATATTGAATTCCGTAACCCTTATATCAAGCTTATTTCTGTAAAGTAATCCTTAAACAGTTGACAGCAGCTATCTGCCTTTTGACCATAAACCATTGAGGACTTTTGTATGATATTTCGTCATTTTGTATCCAGCTCTGCCAATACAGCTCGATCCTTTTATTGACGAATGCTTAGAAATTGTCTTTTCACTTTACTTTTTCAACAGTCATAGGGCAGCACTCATTACCTTAATATTACAGTAACTTAGTTCAAATAGTTTATTTAGGCTTTCTTGGCTTCTATAGGAAATATCAGGATTACCATGTGACAGAGTACGATATATATAGAACACTTATAGACCAAAGGGTGATGGATGTTTGAGTGTGATACGAGTACCATACTGTCATAAAACATAAAAATGTACGTTATTTGAACTACCTTAGTGTCCGAGTGTGATTACAGCAAACCAAACAGACTCAACACCCCAAATTAAATACTGTGGGGGTTAGTGTTTAACATAGAGACAATATAAAAGGGCAATCAACTCGGCACACAGTATACTAACTAAGGGTTCAGTGATTTTCATGTTTCATCTTCCCTGCAATTTTAAATCATCTGTTAAAAGGAAATTGTGATGATTAAACTGTATTTCACACTTAAGGATAAAGATTACTTTACTCTGAAATGCATTTCCTTTCTAAAATAGTTTCACCCTGTGGATTATGCTGAATACATTTGCTATGAGAGGTATTTTGCTTTTGGTCAAAGGTTCATGTATTGATAACAGTACAGCAATTCTAAACTAGAAATGTCACCAGAACGGCAGACTTATACTCCCAGCCTGCGGTGAGAACTGTCCCAAGAATAGCAGACTTATACTACCAGCCTGTGGTGAGAACTGTCACCAGAATGGCAGACTTATACTCCAAGCCTGCGGTGAGAACTGTCACCAGAATGGCACACTTATACTCCAAGCCTGCGGTGAGAACTGTCAACAGAATGGCAGACTTATACTCCAAGCCTGCTGTGATAACTGTCACCAGAATGGCAGACCTATCCTCCCAGCCTGCGGTGAGAACTGTCCCGAGAATAGCAGACTTATACTACCAGCCTGTGGTTAGAACTGTCACCAGAATGGCAGACTTACACTCCCAGCCTGCGGTGAGAACTGTCAACAGAATGGCAGACTTATACTCCAAGCCTGCAGGGAGAACTGTCACCAGAATGGCAGACTTACACTCCCAGCCTGCGGGGAGAACTGTCAACAGAATGGCAGACTTATACTCCAAGCCTGCTGTGATAACTGTCACCAGAATGGCAGACCTATACTCCCAGCCTGCGGTGAGGACTGTCACCAGAATGGCAGACTTATACCCCCAGCCTGCGGCGAGAACTGTCACCAGAATGGCAGACTTCTCCTCCCAGCCTGCGGTGAGAACTGTCCCCAGAATGGCAGACTTATACTCCAAGCCTGCTGTGATAACTGTCACCAGAATGGCAGACCTATCCTCCCAGCCTGCGGTGAGAACTGTCCCCAGAATGGCAGACTTATCCTCCCAGCCTGCGGTGAAAACTGTCACCAGAATGGCAGACTTATACCCCCAGCCTGCGGTGAGAACTGTCACCAGAATAGCAGGCTTATACTCCCAGTCTGCGGTGAGAACTGTCACCAGAATGGGAGACCTATACTCCCAGCCTGCTGTTAGAACTGTCTCCAGTATGGCAGACTTATACTCCCAGCCTGCGGGGAGAACTGTCCCAAGAATAGCAGACTTATCCTACCAGCCTGTGGTGAGACCTGTCACCAGAATGGCAGACTTATCCTCCCAGCCTGCGGTGAGAACTGTCCCCAGAATGGCAGACTTATACTCCAAGCCTGCTGTGAGAACTGTCACCAGAATGGCAGACCTATACTCCCAGCCTGCGGTGAGGACTGTCACCAGAATGGCAGACTTATACTGTCACCAGAACGGCAGACTTATACTCCCAGCCTGCGGGGAGAACTGTCCCAAGAATAGCAGACTTATACTACCAGCCTGTGGTTAGAACTGTCACCAGAATGGCAGACTTACACTCCCAGCCTGCGGGGAGAACTGTCAACAGAATGGCAGACTTATACTCCAAGCCTGCTGTGATAACTGTCACCAGAATGGCAGACCTATACTCCCAGCCTGCGGTGAGGACTGTCACCAGAATGGCAGACTTATACCCCCAGCCTGCGGTGAGAACTGTCACCAGGATGGCAGACTTATACTCCCAGCCTGCGGGGAGAACTGTCCCAAGAATAGCAGACTTATACTACCAGCCTGTGGTTAGAACTGTCACCAGAATGGCAGACTTAGACTCCCAGCCTGCTGTGAGAACGGTCACCAGAATGGCAGACTTATACTCCAAGCCTGCTGTGATAACTGTCACCAGAATGGCAGACCTATACTCCCAGCCTGCGGTGAGGACTGTCACCAGAATGGCAGACTTATACCCCCAGCCTGCGGCGAGAACTGTCACCAGAATGGCAGACTTCTCCTCCCAGCCTGCGGTGAGAACTGTCCCCAGTATGGCAGACTTATACTCCCAGCCTGCGGGGAGAACTGTCCCAAGAATAGCAGACTTATACTACCAGCCTGTGGTTAGAACTGTCACCAGAATGGCAGACTTAAACTCCCAGCCTGCGGTGAGAACTGTCCCAAGAATGGCAGACTTATACTCCCAGCCTGAGGTGAGAATTGTCACCAGAATGGCAGACTTATACTCCAAGCCTGCGGTGAGAACTGTCAACAGAATGGCAGACTTATACTCCAAGCCTGCTGTGATAACTGTCACCAGAATGGCAGACCTATACTCCCAGCCTGCTGTGAGAACTGTGACCAGAATGGCAGACTTAGACTCCCAGCCTGCTGTGAGAACGGTCACCAGAATGGCAGACTTATACTCCCAGCCTGAGGTGAGAACTGTCACCAGAATGGCAGACTTATACCCCCAGCCTGCGATGAGAACTGTCACCAGTATGGCAGACTTATACTCCCAGCCTGTGGTGAAAACTGTCACCAGAATGGCAGACTTATACTCCCAGCCTGCGGTGAGAACTGTCACCAGAATGGCAGACTTATCCTCCCAGCCTGCGTTGAGAACTGTCACCAGAATGGCAGACTTACCCTCCCAGCCTGCAGTGAGAACTGTGACCAGAATGGCAGACTTATACTCCCAGCCTGTGGTGAGAACTGTCACCAGAATAGCAGACTTATACTCCCAGTCTGCGGTGAGAACTGTCACCAGAATGGCAGACTTACACTCCCAGCCTGCAGTGAGAACTGTCACCAGAATAGCAGCCTTATACTCCCAGTCTGCGGTGAGAACTGTCGCCAGAATGGCAGACTTATACTCCCAGCCTGCGGTGAGAACTGTCACCAGAATAGCAGACTTATACTCCCAGTCTGCGGTGAGAACTGTCACCAGAATGGCAGACTTATACTCCCAGCCTGCTGTGAGAACTGTCACCAGAATGGCAGACTTACACTCCCAGCCTGCGGTGAGAACTGTCACCAGTGATGAAGAACCTGTATTAACTTACCCTCAAACCTGTACACAGTGATGAAGAACCTTGATTAACTTACCCCCAAACCTGTACACGGTGATGAAGAACCTGCATTAACTTACCCCCCAACCTGTACACGGTGATGAAGAACCTTGATTAACTTACCCCCAAACCTGTACACGGTGATGAAGAACCTTGATTAACTTACCCCAAAACCTGTACACGGGGATGAAGAACCTGTATTAACTTACCCCCAAACCTGTACATGGTGATGAAGGACCTGTATTAACTTACCCCCAAACCTGTACACGGTGATGAAG